TGAAGCAGTAACTGATAACGAGCTTATAATTTTATTAGGTTCAAATAAACTGAATAAAAAATAGGAAGTAAAGTACACTGAGGAAAACTCGGCAGATACCTGCGCCTCCTGAAGTTTGTCGTGCTCAGCGTCCAGATTTTGCTTGTGTTCATGATGAATTTTATCAATTTCTTCACGAAGATCACTGATAACTTTCTCCTGAAAGGAGAATCAAGAGATTATTTGTTCGACCAACCCCGCTGAGACAGCGTTGCTAATGAAAAAACACAACTCGCTTCCAGAAGGCATAGTTCCCACTGGCTTAGTACCCAAACTGATTACTTATACGAAAGCGTGGATGCTACTTGGCGCAAAAACGACAATGCGAAAACGGCCATAAACCACACAAACATAAAGACGGTAGAGATTTTGCTGTTGGCCAAAACATTCCAGAGAAATGCGACAGCTCAAAAATCAACGGGCCCATTGAGTGCTGCGTTCCAATTTAGTGACTATTGCGGTGACAGCAAGTAGGCCACCTAATCAGTATGTAACCATACGCATGTACATACCAGAAGCCAATTTCTCCACACCAGGGTAGGCCGTTATTAGAAAAATTCATGGTGATGAGGGTGGAGCCAGGGGCCACATATTCTGAGAAGTCCTCTTCACGTAAAGTGATAAGGGGATCGTATCGAGACCTTTCGAGTTGAAATTTTTGAACTTTTCCCAACGTTACCGTTGACCCTGTCCAATACCACACCTTGAGTAATGTATGTTCTATGGTACACCACTGAGCTATATCACTACTTTGTTGTATGAATTGCACGAGAGATTTGTTTCAATACCTGTACCCCCTGCCCGGGAAGGTGAGGACACCACGTCATATGAATAAAACTAAAGCACTTTTATGTAGGGGTTATAATTTTGGATGGCTTCTAATGTGGTATAAAAATAAGGAGCACCCCATTCACATGTGGAACAGCAGCCACAGTGAGCTATACCTCCTAGATAGACCATCACTGCAAGACATGCAGACCAACGAGGCTCATTGTGTTTATTAATGCGTTGCTGATACCCTGAAGGACCGCGTACATAAGCGGCAAACGACAATAATGGCGTTCACTCGCCTTTGCAATGAATTCTAATCGCATTTTATCATTAATTTCTTCTAAGTCACGGATTTTAGACGCCACAGGAGAAGCCTAAAGAATACTATCCATCATTATGAACAAAAACAGAGGAAAGTGTAATTATGAAATCAAAAGGCGAGTAAAAGTAACGAACAATAAATCAGAACTCCGTTTCATTGACCTCCAAACTAATGCTAATACAGTAATACCTCGCGATCGTGCAGTATTTTCGGAGCCGTAGCCAGAGGATGTTAGGATAAGTGGGATACGGACCCAATGCTCAGCTTACCAATATGAAACAACCTTATTTTTTCTTCTTCGAATTTCTCTTGTTCACGGGTCTTCTCGATGCTTCGTAACTTCCCTTCAGCATCAACCAACTTTGACTGGATGTCCATCAGCGAATTTTTGGCTTCTGCCTCACTGGCACTTAGTTGTTCTATTTTATTCTGAAGCAGTAACTGATAACGAGCTCATAATTTTATAGGTTCAAATAAACTGAATAAAAAATAGGAAGTAAAGTACACTGAGGAAAACTCGGCAGATACCTGCGCCTCCTGAAGTTTGTCGTGCTCAGCGTCCAGATTTTGCTTGTGTTCATGATGAATTTTATCAATTTCTTCACGAAGATCACTGATAACTTTCTCCTGAAAAAAGAATCAAGAGATTATTTGTTCGACCAACCCCGCTGAGACAGCGTTGCTAATGAAAAAACACAACTCGCTTCCAAAAGGCATAGTTCCCACTGGCTTAGTACCCAAACTGATTACTTATACGAAAGCGTGGATGCTACTTGGCGCAAA